GTGGGGGGAAGAAGGGGAGTCCTTGAAGGACTGAAAGAGACATCTGAGGGGGGCATTGAATGAAAGCCTAGATGAGGGTAAATAAGGAAGGGAAGGGTTTTGACTGATGGGGGAAGGCCTTTGTGAAAAAGGTAAATCAGAGAGAGAAAGACAATGTGAAGTAAGAGAATGAAGGCATTTTAAAAGGGAAGTGAGAGAATGAAGACTTTTGAATGAGGGGAGTATAGGGCTTTGTGAGATAAGGAAGAAAGGCTTTTGAGTAAGGGGTGACAAGGCCTGTAAGGTGAGTAAAAGAAAGTCACTGTGGGAAGGTGAAGAATGAAATGACCTTGACTGAAGATTAGGAAGAACTTTTGGAGTGGTGATGAGGGAGGGAAGGCATTTGAGAGGGTAAGAGAGGGAAGATATTTGTGAAATGAGGTGACAAAGAGAAGGCCTTTATTAGTAAAAATAAAAGAGGGTAGTACTTTGAGAAAGGAGGTAAGTAAGTCAAGTACTTGAGAGAAGGAGGCCTAGGAGGGAAGAGTGAAAGAGTGAAATCAATTGTGAGGTCAGAGGAGACTGGGAAGGTAACCATGAAAGAAGGGAAGGCTTTTGTGAGGGTAGGTGAGCAAGGAAAGATCTCTGTTAAGGGAGGTGATAAAGAAAGGAATTTGACAGGTGAGGTAAGGTGAGTTAGTAAGGTGAACTTAGAGGCAGAAGAGCTTTAAGAGAGGAAGTGATAGAGGTTAGTACTTTGAGTGGTGAGATGAGGGAGGTTAGTATATGATGGGAGGTAATGAAAAGAAGCCTTTAGGAGAAATGAGGAAGAGAAGCTATTCGTGAAGGAAAGAAAGGCATTTATAAGAGTTAGTGAGAGGATTTAGTAGTTTGTGAAAGAAGGTTAGGGAAGGAAGATTTTCAGGGAAGACCTGTAACAACTAAAGGAATTGAAACACTTATCAAACTTCCTAACAGGGACTACATCAAACTAAAAAGTTTTTGCACAACAAAGGAAACAATCAACAAAAGGAAAAGACAACCTAATGAATGAGAGAAAATATTTGCCAATGATATATCGGATAAAGGGTTAATATCCAAAACTTATAAAGAATTCATACAACACCAAAAAAACAAAAACAAACAATCCAATTAAAAAATGGGCAGAGGACCTAAATAGGTATTTCTCCAAAGAGGACATACAGATAACTGATAGACATATGAAAAGATGCTCAACATCACTAATCATCAGAGAAACTCAAATATAAACCACAATGAGATATCACTTCACACCTGTCAGAATGGCTATCATCCATAAATCAGAAAACAAGTGTTGGAGAAAAGGTAACCCTCGTGCACTGTTGGTGGGATTGCAAACTGGTACAGCCACTATGGAAAACAGTATAGAGGTTCATCAAAAAATTAAAAATAGAACTACTTTATGACCCAGCAATTCCACTTCTGGGTTATTTATCCAAAGAAATCCAAAACATCCATTTGAAAAGATATATGCACCTTTATGTTCACTGCAGCATTATTTCCAATAGCCAAGATATGGAAGCAACCTAAGTGTCTACCAAAAGACGATTAGATAAAAAAGTTGTGGTACATATATACAATAGAATATTACTCAGCCATAAAAAATGAAAAAAAAATTTTTTTTTTTGCAACGACAGGATGAACCTGGGTATTATAAGTCAGACAGAGAAAGACAAATACCATTTCACTTATATGTGGAATCTAAGTAGCAAAATAAACAAACAAGGTAAAAATAGATTCATAGATACAGAGAACAAACTGGGCGACTGCCAGACTGGAGTGGGGTTGGGGAGCTGGGTGAAAATGGTGAAGGAATTAAGAAGTACAAATTGGTAGTCACAAAATAGCCACAGAGATGTGAAGTACAGCAGAGGAATATAGCCAATAATATTTTAACAATTATGCATAGTGCCAGATGGGTACTAGACTAACCAGGGGATCACTTTATAAATTAAATAATATATAAATGTCTAACCACTATGCTGTACACCTGAAACTAATATAAAATAGCGTTGAATGGCAATTCTAATTGAAAAATTAAAAATTAAAAAAAGAAAAACCTCATATTGCTAAGCAGAAAAAAAAGCAACCCTCTTAAACAAAAGTCCAGGAGCAGATGGCTTCACTGATGATTGCCACCAAATATTTAAAGAATTAATTCCAATCCTTCTCATACTCTTCCAAATATAAAAGGAAATACTTCTCAACTCATTCTATGATGCCATTATTAACCCAGTACCAAAGCCAAACACACAAGAAAAGAAAGCTACAAACCAATATCACATATGATTATAAATGCAAAATGCCTCAACAAAATACTAACAAACCAAAAGTAAAGCATATTGAAAAGAGTATACACAATGGCTAAGTCTGATTTATCCCAAAAATACAAGTGTGGTTCAACATAGAAAATCAATGTAATATACCACATTAATAGAATGAAGGACAAATATTCACATGATCATCTCAATTGATGCAGAAAAAGCATTTGACAAAACATCATAATCAATAATAAAGGCTGAAAGCTTTCCTCCTGAGATCAGGAACAAGACAAGGATGCCCTCTTTTTCCAGTGCTATTCAACATTGTACTGGTAGTTCTAGCCAAAGCAATTAAGACTGTAATGAAATAAAAGGCATCCCAAATGTAAAGGAAGAAGTATAAATCTCCATTCACAGATAACATAATTCTACATATTGAATATTTTTTTAAAAGTCCACAATGAAACCTACTAGAGCTAATAAACAAATTCAGTAAAGTTGCAGAGTACAAGATCAACATGCAAAAATCAGTTGTGCTTCTATATACCAGGCATGAACAATCTGAAGAGGAAGTTAAGAAAATTATTCCATTTACAATAGCATCCAAACAAACAAAATATCAAGGAACAAATTTAACTAAGGAGGTCAAAGACTTTTGAAAACTTCAAAACATTGCTGAAATAAATTAAAGAAGACATAAATAAATGTAAAGACATCCAAATGTTCCAGATTGAAAGACTTAATATTGTTAAGATGGCAATACTGCCCAAAGTGATCTGCAGATTCAACGCAATCCTTATCAAAACTCCAATGGACTTTTTGCATAAATGGAAAATCTGATCCTCGAATTTATACAGAATTGCAAAGGCTCTTAAATACTCAAAACAATATGAATAAAGAACAAAGTTGGAGGACTCACATGTGCCGATTTGTCAACTTACTACAAAGCTACAGTAATCAAAAGAGTATAGTGCTGACAGAGGGATAGACACACAGACCTACAGAACAGAACTTAAGAGTCCAGAAATAAACCCATAAATGTATAGTCAACTTGTTTTCAACAAGGGTGCCAAGATCATTCAGCAGGGAATGAAGAATGTCTCTTCAACAAATGGTGCCGAGACAACTGGATATCCACATGCAGAAAAATGAAGTTGGACCCTTAACACACCATATACAAAAATTAACTCAAAATGGATCAACAACTTAAATATACGGACTAAAACCATAAAACTCTTCAAACAAAACACAGAAATTGATCTTCATGATTTCATGGCTTCTTAGATATGACCCCAAAGGCACAAGAGACAAAATTTAAAAATAGATAAATTGGACTTTCTCAAAATTAAAAATTTTTGTGCATCAAAATAAAACATTATTAAGAAAGTGAAAAGATAACCTACAGAATGGAGAAAATATTTATAAATCATATATCTAGTATATATAAAAAACTCTTACAACTCAATAACAAAACCACAAACAATCCATTTAAAAATGGTCAAAGGCGAGGGTAAAGGGGTAAATATATAGTAACGAAAGGAAACCAGACCTCGGATGGTGAGCACACAATTGAGTATATAGACACTGTATTATAATGCTGTACACCTAAAATTTATATAATGTGATTAACCAATTTTACTGCAACAAATTTAATAAAAATTAAAATTAAAAATAGAATGTTATATGATTTTTTAAAAATGGTCAAAGGACTTGAATAGACATTTCTCCAAAGAAGATATACAAATATCCAAAAGCACATAAAAAGATGCTCAACATCGTTAGACAATATGGAAATACTAATGAAAACCATAATAAGAAACCAATTTACACCTGCTAGAATGATAAAAATGAAAAAAAAAGTGGAGATGGTAACAAATGATGAAATTGGGACCCTCGTACATTGATAGTGACAATGTAAAATGGCACAGCCACTTTGTGAAACAGTCTGGGACTTCCTCAGAAAGTTCAACAGTCAATTCCCATATAATCCAGCAACTGCGCTCCTAGGTCTATGTCCAAAAAACCTGAAAACATGTTGACACAACAACTTGAACATGAACAGCAATATTATTCATAATAGCCAACAACGGAAAATAACCCAAATGTCCATCAAGCGATAAATGGATAAACAAAATTCAATACAGCCACACAACGAAATATTATTTGGCCATAAAAAAGGAATGAAGACCTGATACACACCACACGAATAAATCTCAAAAACATTATGTCGAGTAAAATAAGCCAAACACAAGAGGATAAATAGTATATGTTACCATTTCCACAAAATGTCTAAACTAGGCCAATCCGTAAAGAGAGAAAGAAGATTGGGGGTGGCCAGGGGCTGGGAAATGGGGAGGAACCGCGGTATTAATGGATATGGGTTTTCATTTGGAGTGATGAAAATAATCTGGAAATAGAAGTGGTGGCTGTGCAACGTTTAAATATACTAAAATGCACTGTCCACTGTAAAATAATTTTACGTTACGTGAATTTCGCCTCTATTTTTCTAAAAAGGCGGGGAGGTGAGGGAGGTCAGTGATCGATGAGGAAAAGTCTGGGCCAGATTGCTTTCTGAGGAAAGCCGAATGAGGTCCACGATTATGAAGGGAGAAGGGGAGAGAGGGAGGCCTGTGGGGTGGAGGGGTGGAGGGGTGGGCCGAGGGCAGGCTCTCGGAAGGCTATCCCGGTAGCCTGCCTCCCGGCCGAGGAAAAAACACTCACCAGGACTCATGTAGTAGCACAGCCCCATCAGGACGAGGAGGGTGAGAAGGACCACCCTGAAGCGATTCTGGGACCACATCTGAGTTCGGCGCTTCAGGCCGCTCAGGAACTCCTTACGGCTGGGGTGAGGCGCGGCAGCCATGATGGCCTGCTTCTTCGGGCTCTTTCCCCGCTTATGCGATTGCACCGCGGAGGTCTCCTCACCGATTCTCGCCTCAGCTTCAGAAATCATCTTCTTTGAGCGCGCCGCACGCAACGCCCTGGTCTTCGACCTGGTCCTCCCTCTCAGCAACCTCCCTTCGGAAGGCATGACTCATACTCCAACTAGCTGAAAAGATGCTTTACTGCCGGCGGCCAGAGACGAAGAAGACCTCGTGCGCTGGCGCATGCGTAGTAACCCTCAGAGGCACGTGACAGCCCTCCCTGAGGATCTAGCGCATGCGTGGCACCCCTCAGCGGCACGTGCCAGCCCTTGAGAACTGACGCATGCGTGGTATTCCTCTGGCAAGTGGTAGCCCTCGTCCCCAAGCCCCGCCCCCTTTTAACGGCTGTTAGGGAGTTTTGTGCATCCTCCCCCACTCAAGGCCTGGCTCTTCTAGCGCTTGTTAATTGTTGAATGAGTGAATGAATGGGGCTCGAGGCCTGCAGCCAGGAACATGTCTACCTGTCACAGATCAACAAAATGGCCTCACTGGCATTCAGGCTCCAGCCTTGGCTATTAATTCCTCCTCAGATTCGGTCCTATGACAGACACTGTAGCGTCTACGGTCACCTACGTTTGCTTGCTACAGTAGCCACTAGCCAAATGGGGCTATTTAAATGTCAATTTTAATTAATTAAAATTATACGGTCTTAAGAAATTAATTCCTCAGTCCCAGCACCCACATAACAGAGTGCGCGCTCGGGCGCTCGCGCGCACGCGCGAACACACTTTCTCTCTCTCTCTCTCTCCTCTCGCTCTCTCTCTCTCTCTCTCTCTCTCTCTCTCTCTCTCACTTTGGACAGTGCAAATATGGAGCATTTCCATCACAGCAGAAAGTTGTAATGGACAGCGTTGGATGCGCACAGTGACTATAGCGAATATGGTAGATTACACTGTAGTAGGAGCTTTTAAGTGAGACAAAATGGTATTTGCCTCCAGAGACCTTAAAGATAAGTTACAAATAAACGAAACAATAGGAAACATGAGAATAAAATGTGTGAGGAACACCAAAGAGTGACTCAGAACACTTAGATTTTATTCCCATCATTTGCCACCAATGAATCGAATGGTCCTAAGCGCCTTCTTCCTGCTGGTCCCTCCTGCTGCATGTGTAAAATGAGAGCATTAGCATTGTCTCTAAGGCCCCTTCTTGCTCTAAAATCTGACCCTTGAACGAAATCTCATTAACTTGTTTGGTCTGGGCAAGCCTGCACAAGGACCAAGTAGATGATACTGGCATACTTGTTAGCCTACCTCATTCTAGTTTTCAAGGGATGTCAAAACGAACGCCATTGAACTGCATTTCCGTCCTTATTTTTACTTCGTCTTACTCTAGCTTTCCAAATGGCTTTCTACTAATTTTATTGTATCGTTCTTTCTAATGTTAGTAGGCACTCCACAGGGAGAAGGAAAGAAGGTTTCCTATGCAAAGAATTCTTGAAATGTAGTACACTCCACCCCACCCCACCCCAACCTCACATCCAGGAGCAATTCATAATGCTCTTTAGTTTATTAAAGGATCAGACAAGAAAAGAATCCGGTTTTCTTTCTTTTAATATATTTTTTGCCTCAGTTTTTCCCAAACTGACCAGAAGATGTCTGTCTCACAAAACACTATTAATAGCTTCTGAAACTACTGCTTAGAACTGTGAGGAACTGTGAAGCGTCTGAGATTTTACTCCACTTCTGAGTTATAAGGTGGCCTGCTGCAGTTTCATAGATGCTGGCAGAGGATGCAAGACTACTGGATCAAAGACAAAGGACAGAAGCTCTCCCAAGACATGCAGAAACTCAAGAGACCCGTGAACAATTGCCACCCAACAGCAACTTTGTTCATGTTGTAACACACATGCAAAATGATTGTATGACCAGGCACCATGCAGCTGCCCTGAGGTCACGGGAGATTAGGCTAGAGGACACAGGTTGGAAACTCAGCTCTCAGCCACCTCATGGGTTGTGCTCTCTGAGCCCTTCTGCAAATTATGGGCTCTGGACAGCCTGATTGTGAAGATTCCTTCCAGCTCTGACTTGCTATGACTCATACTTGACTGTAGCATTTGGATTTGTTGTAAAGAGGTAAGACATGGCAGTTCAACAACAGTGCAATATTCCTGAGCAATCCACATCATACTGCTAGAAACCCAAATCACTAACAAGAACTAGGGGAGACAAAATCCCTAAGATCGTGACTGAGCACTTTCTGATTTATACATTGGTAATTACCTGAAATTTGGCTTCCTACGGATTAACCCTCCCTGGATTCATCACTACCCTGGAAACTCTCCTTCCACTTCTGGGTGAACAGAAGGAGTCGGTTAACTCTTTAGACCACTTTGCTACCCCAGACCCTGTTTTCAATGCTTATGATCAATCTCCTCTCTTTTTGAGTTTACATTATCCGATTATACTACCTGCTTCATTTTCTGTTTCATTTCAAGGGCCTACTAACTTCGAAGAAATTCTCTCTTCTACCTTCATATTTAAGCATCTGAATCTCTGACTTCCCTTCTATCACAATTCTTGGCCATTATCCTTAGAATGAAACCGGCTGCATGGTTCTTTCACCTTCCAATTTTCTTACTTTTTGTTTTTTGTGCTTGATGAGAAGTATTATTTATTTATTTACTTACTAACTTATTTACTTTTATTTTTAATTTAAATTTATTTATTATTTTTTATGATGACAATGGTTAACGAAATCCTATTAGTTTACAGTAAGGCATATATATATATATTTGTACTGTGTGTTCACCTCCCCTAGTAAGATTTCTTTCTGTCACCACATAGTGACCCCTTTTACCCCGTCTACCTCTCCCCTCCCCCTACCCTTCCGATTTTCAAATCCAAAGATCACTGAAGTATTTATCCTCCTCAAACTCTTTACAACATACGAAACTATTAAACTCCCTCTTTTCCTGAGGAAAGCTATGTGTCTCTACTGGACTATAAGCTCTATGAGAGCAGAGATCTTGTTTGTCTTGTTTATTGATCTAATTTTAATACCTAAACAGAGTCGTACACAGTATCCACTGAATAAATATATTTTATTGGATAATTGCTATGACAAAGCACAGTTTTCATGTCCTTGTAAGCCTCATCGCATTAGCTAAATGTAGGCATTTCCCCAAGATTTAGCCAACTGCTACCTATTTTTTGTGCTCTCTAGTTTTTTTTTCCTGCGTGATGTTTACTTCCATTTCTTCAGAGATCACCACTGTCAATGAAGCTTTCCTATTTAACTATCTAGCCTCATCCCTGTCCTGTGCTCCAAGCTGAAGATCAACCAAGGAGTTCAATTTGTTCTTGCTCCTACATCAGAAGCCTTGGGCTCTGGGAGCTTCAGGCTAGTATGGGAAACAGGCATGTAAAATACAATTATATCACAATGTGATAAATGCTCTTAAAAAGAAAGGTATGAATGCAGAGCTGTAGGAACACAGAGGAAAGGGCAAATAATTCAGCCTAAACTTGTCAGTGAAAGCTACTGAGAAGTGACATTTAATTTGGGCTTTGAAGATTAAATAGAAAATGTCCAGGCAAACAAGATGCAAAAGGTATTTTTCATGGAGGAGGCCAAATAGAGACTTGGAGGAATGAAAAGATATGATAGATACAGTATGTTTGTGAACCAGAAATAAATATTCTACCACATCTAAAAGTCGGATCTTTTCCTCCCAAACCAATACCTCCACTTGACTTCCCTTTTCCTATGTATGTCCTGATCCTACTCCTGACCCTTTCAATATAAGACCTCTGGGTCATCTTGGAGTCTTTATCCCTCATATCCAATCACATGCTCATTGATTTTACTTTAAAATACTTCACAGTCCCATTCTTCCCTTCTATTCCTAGTTCAACAGTCCTAGCTTAGACCCTCATTACTTCTTTCCTTGACCACACAGTTTCCTAAGCGATCTCAATTGGTTCTCACAGTTCTAATCCACCCTACTCACTGCAGTCAAATGATTCTTCCTGCTTAAATATCTCTGTCGGCTGCCTAGAGTCCATAGTATAAACGATGGGACTAAATCTGCTCCCACTTTTGTTAAGCAGTCTCTGTCTTTGGTGCTTTTAGATCTCCACCCCCTGGTTTCCTACATGTGTCACTGCTGTTTTTTATTTACTCTCCTGGATCCTCCTCTTCCAGGCCCTTCTCAGGGCCTTCTTCTGGATCTTCTCTTTCCTTTCTCACACATGACACTATCTCTGCAAATGATCATGTGCACTCCTGCAGCTGACTTGCAATTACAACCTGATTATTTACAAAATTACAGTTTATCTCTCTCTTCTGAATCTCACTTAAGCATCTCTGCTTGGATAATTCACAAGCACTTTAAACTGCTCACATCCAAAATTGGTGATTATCCTCCACAAACCTGCACTTTCTCTACTCTTCTCTATCACAATCAGTGGTACTATGTTTTATCCCGTTGCTCATGTGAGAAATCTGAGAGTCTTCCTTGATTCCTCCGTATTCTTCAATCCTCATTCATTGAATCAACACAAACTCTCTCTTCTCCCTCTGAAACTCTGTATGATGGTTAGTTTTATGTGTCAATTTGGCCAGGCCCTAGAGTCTAGTCATTCAAGAAAACACTAATCTAGGAGTCGCTGCGAAGGTATTTTATAGCTGTGTTTAATATCTACAATCAGTTGATTTTAAATAAAGGACATTAGCCTCAATAATCTGGGAAAGCCTTACTTAATCAGTTGAAAGCTCTTAAGAGCAAAACTGAGGTTTCCCTGGAGAAGAAACACTGCCTTGAGATGACACTATCGACTTCAATCTGAATTTTCAGCCTGCCAGCCTTCCCTATGACTTTTGAACACACTCACATAAGTCAATTTCTTAAAATAAATCCAAATCTGTTTTATATATCCTATAGGTTTTCTTTTTCTAGAGAACCCCAACTGACATATGGTGTCTTTATTTCATCCATTGCTATTTCCACTGCCTCTCCCTCATTATCTCTGGCCCACTCTAATCCATTCACCACACCGTGATCACTGCATACTTGTAAAGGTGTAAA